ATGCCGGTACTTCTATGATCTCCTCAAAGGCAGCAACAGTATCTTTCATTTTGTCACCTGAACTCCAGCAAGAGCCAGTTATCTGGTTTCCCTATTTCTACTATAAGCCTCATAGTATCTTTTGTTGTTGTTGTTGTTGTTGCTTTCCACACAGCATTTTATATTTTAATAATGTAGATTACATCACATCATCACCACTCCTCTGTTGTATAATCTCCAATAGATAGATACATAGTGAACTGATCTTGTTGTGGGTGTTAATGAATCCCTGAAAGATCTCACCCCTGCTTATTTCAGCCACCCCTGTTCACTTCTCTTTCTGTAAAACACAAAGTTTGTTTCCTGCTTTGTAATCTTTGCGTTTGTTATTTCCTCTAACTATGCTCTTTACCCTAACTTCCCCTTGATTTTGGTCTCTTCTCAAATATCATCTTCTCAGAGAGACTTCCTAAACACCCCTGTAAAGATGTTCCCTATACCCAAGTCACTTCCTACAGAAGTCATCAAAGATATTTACTATATTTCGGTGTCTTCCTTTCTCCTGGGCACACAGTAAGAATGTACTCTTGGAAACTTTGTGGCTGGTTGGAACCAACGTGATGTGCCCCACCCAATGTGACTAGCTGTGGCCAATGAATTATGAATCAGAAGTGATGTATATTCCTTCCTCTATAGCATTCCTTCATTTTCTTCGTAACATTTACTACTTTCTGGCGTAATCTAATTTATGTATTTATATAACTATTAAATGCCTATGCTCTTCTTTCCTCATGTAAGCTCTGTGAGAACAGTAAAGTGTCTCTCTTACAGATTGCTCTATCTTACTACTTGGAAAAAAACCTGGTATGTTGCGATAAATGTGTTGAAAGAGCAAATTAAGGAGTGACTAAGGCCTGTATTCTCATTTTAAAAATTATGAAATCAATTTGGTAGATCTCTGTCACTAAGCTGTGTGATCATGGCTTATAATACTCAGAGTTTTTGATTCCTTGTATGTTTCTTTTCTTTCCTGTTTGGCAACCAATTGAAAAAGCAATTCTAAGAAGGCTAGACTGCATCATGAAACTTGTTATTTATTGATAGTTTCATAAAAGATAAAATTTTACCATGATCTTGCAACATAATAAGATAAATGTTATATTTTATTAGAAAAGAAGTAGGCTGAACAAGTGTTTTAAATACAAAAAGTAAATGAGCTTATAGGCACTTCATGATTTTTAATTTTTTTTTAACTTTTTATTTATTTCTGAGAGAGAGAGAGAGCGTGAGAAGGCAGGAGTCAGAGGGAGAGGGAGACAAGGAACCTGAAACTGGCTCCAAGCTCTGACCAAACTGTCAGCACAGAGCCCGATGCAGGGCTGGAACCCAGGAACCGTGAGATCATGACCAAACCGAAGTCAGCGGCCCAACCAACTGAGCCACCCAGGCGCCCCTCTTCATGATTATTGTATGGGCTAATTATTTCTTTTTTTCCCCCTCCATTCTTAAACTTTACATGAGAAAGGATTTGTTACAATGTAGTAATGGTACAGTGACAGAGAAGGCTCTAAAGTTGAGTTCTTGGATTCAAATCTTTGCTGTTCATCTGTATAACTTTAAACATATTAATTTGTGGTTTTTGTTTCTGTGAAATGAGATGCTCTCAAAGCAGTTTTGTTTATTTTTAATCAAAATCCAAAGAACAACTGAATGATCCTTTTTTCACCAGGTTTTAATCCACTCTAATATGATTGTTTTAAAGCATAAGCAAAATCAAAAACCATATAAACTACTATTTACGTGCAAGGTGTTTGGAATAGGAATTAAAAATAAAACAGAAAAGTGTGAAATTAGTCTTAGTGTTCCCCTTGGAGTTTGCTACAAGTCAGGAAAAGCTCTGAATCCATTCCACAGGGGAAAACATCATGTATAATTTCTGAGATCTTATGAATCCCTAAAGGTTATCCATGGATTTCCTGAATCTTTAGACACCAGAATAAGAGACCCAGTCATAGATAGCATTTGTTTTTAATTGAGTCTTAAAGAAAATTATGGACTTTAATAGATGAAGTATGAACAGGAAGGTAGCCCAGGCTGGGGGAGAATGATATGATCAGGACCAGGAGGTATACATTAGTGACAGTTACAGGGATAATTGTTTCACCATTTGTTTATAATGGTGTATTGTTCCTCCTTCTCCCAACTCTTCTTTCATTTTAAACTTAATACGATAAGGTGGTTTCTGGAGCCTCTTAATAGACTATACACTCTCCCATAGAGGTTTAGACATGGATAGTTTAGGAAGCAAAAAAAAAAAAAAAAAAAAAAAGAGCCTCAGGGATATATCACATTTGTATTTAGATTTATGAGATAAATGTTTATTTAGAAGAAGAAAACAAATGAGTGGATTCACTTATGAAGTACACGTAGATAAACCAAACGATACCAAGCAAAGCAAAGACAATGCAAATGAAATAAAAAACAAAACCTCAGACAATCAGCAGCACACTGTCTCCCTTTCATAGATTGCACTTTGATCTTTGTAAGCACAACTTATTTCCAGCTCTAAATGACATTGAGTTAAAAGGCTGTGATTCTATATGTAAAGTTCCCATGCTGTTGGATCACAAATAACCTCTTCTCCCAAAGCAACTATTTGCTTTTTGCAAGTCTCCTTTTTGTAGGTTAATATATCTACATTTCTTAGTTTACATAAATCTTGAGCATTTCCCTTAGCTCACTGAGTTAATAATGGCTTAACCAGACTTTAAAGAACTATATCTTTGAAACCAAATCTGAAAGATGTTTAAAAGAGTCAAAGCATTACTTTCACAATAATTAGTTAAACACAGAATTCCATTCATTATTATTGACATTTTTGAGGCAATATAGTATGTGAAGAAATACAAGGTAGGAAGAGGAATAGAAATATGGTATAGAATTTGATATATACCATTTAATTTTACTTAAGCTATATGCAGTGTTTCCTCAGTTAGATACTTTTAAATGTAAACTGTTATTCTCAGAATGCCCTCCTAGTTCACTCTTCTGTTCTCTATTTACTTAGCCCACTATTTCCAGAAATAATCTAAAGGATAACCTGGAAAGATGAAAGGTTATGAGGACAAAAAACTTTTTAAAAAAGCAGAAAAAGGATTAGCAATGTAAATAAATATGAGGTTGAAGTTGATCCAAATAAATTCATATATGAAAAATGTTTCATAAATCTGGCTCTAAATGTGATGTAGCTATTGCAAAGAGAGAAACGTGATGAGTTTCAGGATCATTCATCAGTATCCATAAAAAGGACTTACAAAGAAGGGAAACTAATTTGCACAAGAGAATAAAATAGGTACTAATACTGAAGCAAAAGTGAAATAAGATTTCCCCTACAGGTTCCACAAGTAGATTCAAAATCAAAAGAAAATATAATTTGCAGTTGCCCTACTGTCCACTACCTGCACCAAAGAGAAAAGTCCACTAGGCAAAATACAATGCATTATAATAGGAAGCTGTTAATACATGTAACGTTGACATTATGCATGCATGTACCTATGTTAATACATGTAATGTATTATTAAGCCCCACATAAAGCAGGTAGCTGTTATATTACAACGATGCTAGCCCAAGAATCTTACTTTTGAAGGAACTGGAAAACCAAGCCTTTTTTTTATAGGAAATCTTCAGATTTTTAAAAGGTCAATAGTATGTTTGCCAAATTAAACATACTGAGGGACAGATTCAATATATGAGCTGCCAGTCTTCAACTCTTATTTTAGAGAATATAGAAAAATCAATAGACTATACCTTCCATTATTAAGTATCTGGAATCATTGCGTGACAATTACTTGAAATACAACTTTTATATGTTATTGGCTGAGCTCATGCTACAGGTTATAAAATTCAGCTGAGCCAAAGTTTTGTTGTTGTTGTTGTTTCGTTTTCAAATAAGCTTAAGTCGTAAGTAAAAGAACCAAAGGCCGTTTCACTGCTGCATAGAAGTTGGCCTCTTCACCATAGAATCACTTAAAGAGCTGAATAGGTCTTGGAACTCCATTTGATTTGTCTCCCTTGCTCTTCTTAAATACTGAAATCACATAGGATTCTCAAGTGACCTCTAAAAAGACCTCAGGTTTGAACACTTCACAATATCTTGTTTATGAGACCTGTCCCAGCATTCTTTACCAATATAGTAGTTAAGCCATACCAGTAAATGTGCACTCCGCAGATATCAAATTAAGTATGGTGGGAGTTTACTGTATCATATTCTATATATACCTTCCAAAAGTGCAGAGACTCTACCATCTTTATTGTGTGTATGCAAGCAAGCATTTTGTTTAATCATGAAGACAGATTATCTGGGAACTACTGAATTATTAATTGATAAGTCGAACTTGAATGCATAGTGCCTCATTAAGTTCTTGTGTGTGTCTGTTCTAATTCTAGAAGTGAAATCCTCTGTCCTAAAGACTATGTTTATTATTGGGAGTTTTCTGTATGTTTTATCAAAATTTTAGATGTTATTCTTCAAAGATACTATTAGAAAATACTTATTTTTTGGTTATTTACTGTCTACTGGTCTGAAAGAAGTTGTCTAAAGAAATGTCAAAAGAGCAACCAAAGTCTTAACATATAGTATAGACTGTGAAATATTTTCCTTTATATGCCATAGAGAAAAACCCTTTCAAGATTTCATTCTTGTATTTCTAATAAAAATCACAACAGAATATCTACATATTATCTCACTTGTTCTTCCTTTTTTCTAACCTATGTGGCACTTTCAGGAATTCTGTGTGAGGCAATAAACATCATTTCCTCTAATTATTAACATTCCTAAAATGAATTTGAAAATATCAGAGAGTATTACCACTATTAAACAACTAAAGTGAAAATATTTTCTCTCTGGTATTGTAATAATGCCTGAAAAGAAAAAAAATGAAAAAAAAATTATCATCAAGCAGAATAATAATTTCTTTCCTCTCTTTTCCCTGTTGCCTTTCTCTCCCTCATTTCAATTTAAGAGATTCGTTCTCCTGCTGGTTGTAATAGGAATGAATTTCAGTGCCAACCTGATGGAAATTGCATCCCTGATCTGTGGCGCTGCGATGGGGAAAAAGATTGTGAAGATGGTAGTGACGAAAAAGGCTGCAATGGTACTTTACGATTGTGTGATCACAAAACCAAGTTTTCCTGTCGGAGTACAGGTAAGCAGAACATTGATTCAGCTTGTACCTTGGGCTTCCTGGAGATAGAATCCTTTTGGCCTATCCTCAATGTATATCTTACCTTCATAAAAAGTGTTCTTGTGTTTCCAGTAAGTTTGGTCACATTCTACATGTAATAATAATAATAATAATAATAATAATGGCTAACATTTACTGAGAATTATCTGTGGGCCTAGCACAGCTGTAAAAAATGTGTTCTCCGTGAACGATTTCATCATCCCAATTCACAGTGAAAAAACTGAAGCCCAGAAAAGTTTTTAACATGCTCAAGTTGAAAGAAAAAAGAAAGAAAAGCAAGCAAGTAAGCAAGCAAGCAAGCAAGCATCAAAAGAGTTAGTATAGCAGAATTGGGATTTGAAACCAAGCAACGTGGATTCGGAATCTGGAGTTTCAGACTCCTGAAGGAGACATGTGTTCTAAACCCGCAGACAGAATTCCTCTTTTTACAGATAAATTCTCTTCATAAAATTTAGTGAAGATAAATAGATAGAAAGGCAAAATTATATACATTTATTTTCAACTATAGCAGATTCCTAAATTTAATTGTACCATTACTAAATTTCAGTAAGACGAAGGTAATGACTTCTGTTCAAATCTTTGATTTGTTTTGGAAGTCACTGAAACTTTTATTATTTTTATGATGTTATTTTATTATTATGACTATTCCATTTAGTTTTCCTATATATAGTAGATTTACCTGACACAATATACTAACTTATTTATTTTCCTCTTTATACCAGATGATGAGTTGAAATTTAGAGAAAAGTATATTACAATTAACTGTTGTGGTATAATTTATTAAATGGGTTATATCATCAACAAAATAATCCTTAGAAAAATTCCACATTATGGAAGATGCGTATGTCTGTGTGTGTGTATGTATATGTGTGCACACATATATACACGTGCATCATCTCTAGGACGATGCAAAATTGATTTTTGAATTGCCTAAACTCTGGATGATTAATTTTGCTCCCTATTATGTATTTCAACCAAAAGGTAAAAATGAAAAGTTATCATAGCTATGGGTAAGCAAACACTCTAGAAACTGCATGACTATGGGCATTTAAAGATTTAAAAAGATATGGTGTTTCTTTTTTTGGGCACACCTCATGGTTACAGGTAAGCATTCAAATAAGAAATAAAGAGATAAGTATAAGCTAACATGGTCATAGAGAAATAAATACTCCCGAGGCTCATTTTTAATGAGGGAGTTGTGTTTTCAAAATGGTTACATAGTTCTAACAGTATTTTTCACAATTATGTGATTCTTTTCACTTGTTACAGGAAGTGTCTTAGTTTTGTGTTTGTTGGTTAAAAACTGGGACTTTAAGTTTAGAAATTATCTTTTTGAAATACAATATATTGATTGAAAATTAATAGATGAATAACTTGTTAAATAATAATGTTGGGAGGAAAAACCTTTTCCTATGCCCATATTCAATTCATTGGCTCAGGCCCTTTCAATTAGACTGTCAAAAGATTAATAATAAAACCAGAATAAGTTTATTTACACATATATCACCCATGCACTTGGGAAAACTCAGTGATGAGAGACTCCAAGGAGTGGTTATAACTTGGGCTTACATAGAATCTTAGCAAATAACAGTAAACTTGTAGAAAGATGACAAAATAAAGGAAAAGGATTTTGAGTTTATAGGGATGGCAAATTGTAGGCAGGTAAGTATGTGGGAGAATTAACAAGATAAGGGCTAGTTAGTAAAGTATGTGCAGGTCCATCTTGGCACTAATTTTTCTATTTTCTTCATGGCCATAAACTTCCCTAGAAAAGAATTTATGGCAGTCCTCATTCCTCAGAAGTTTGTGCTTATAATCAGATAAGGGAAGCTTTAGGAATGCTTCTTTCCATCTGTTGAATCTCAAATGCCTCCACTCAAAATAACCCTTCTGTTAAAATGGCATATTTTGGGGATAGTATATTTTGCTCCCATACACTGGATATCTTTGGAGAATAGAATTCTGAGAGATAATTTTATGTATGTTGACTTGGGATTTGGATTATCCATTTAATAATGGTTTTAATGAAACATCAACGTATGTATCAAATAGTTATCTTATAAACCAAAATTTAATGTAAAAAAGTAGAACTGAAATAAAATTTATGTTGAATTATCGAAGCGAAATATAGTATAACATGGCAACTATAGTTGATAATACTTTATTGTATAACTGAAATTTGTTAAAAGAGTAGAACTTAAGTATTCTCAAACACACACCCACTCACACAAATAATAATTTAAAAAATTAAAGCAAAATGTGAAGATAATTTAAAGTTAATCTGTTTCTAATTTAATCTATGGCTTAAACATAGCAAACAAAATTTGTCAAATTATTTGATGAGTCATAACACAATTATATTTGCATATTTATGAATATTGCATATATTAAAGAGATCCATAAACATAATCTTTGGATTAAAAATATATACATGCCCATAATCTTTTTATATTTTTTAAATTTTCATTAATTAAATTATTAGCTTTACAAGCTAAAGACCTTTAAACTACCTAAGACACTGAATTCAGGGTTCATATTTATTTTTCAAAGACTTCTAAATGCTAGTGTAAACATTTAAAAGTTTTCAGGGTAATCAATTAACGTTTGGTGCTTACATAAATTGCCATCTATTAAAGTAAAAATGTAGGCACATTAATAAGTTACTTTATTCTGGCAAAGGAGAGTATGTGAGCTAAATTAAAAGCACAATACAATCATTAATATTGAAGAGCTTCTAACTTCAAAGGACCTATCTCGGACTAAGAACTACACTCTTCCATAACTGGTCACTCATACCCAGACCAATAAATTGCAGTTATATTGTACTTGACCAATCTGGTGGGGGAAATTCCATGTCTACCTCTTATGGAAAAGAAACTCAGAAATGCATTTTTCATACTGGAAAAAAGAAAATAAATATTTGATATTATTCAATGATGGCATAGTTATGGGGAAAAGAGGCCCTTCGGTGGCTGGTAAATTTAACCCAAACTTTTTGCTTCTAGAAATTCATGTAAGGAACAGAAGTGTATAAAGATAAATACAAAAAGACTCTCAATTCAACATTTTGTTTTAATAGCTCCCAAACTAGAAATAATGCATTGCCCATCATTAGGGGCACTACCTAATAGTTATAGTGCCTTCACACAATGAACTACTCTAATGTCATTAAGAAGACATAAGACAAAACTTCATAAGAATGGAATTTTAAGTTCACACTTCGAATCCTTTCTCTGCTGTTAAAAACACATAAAGATCATGATAAAATATAATAGGAGAAAATGAGAGATATTTGGTCTTACTAACACACAAAACATGTCTCTGATGAACTGAAATAAAATATAATGGCAAATGGTGAAGCTGGATGCCTGATTGGATTGGATATGGAGACCAGTAGAGACGAACAGGTGTTCAGAGGTTAGGTTTAACAGGAAATGAAGTTATACCACATGAAGTTGGGGACTGGAGCTAGGCTCACTGCTGAAAATCAAGAATTGGAATAGGACTCCTTTGCTTTTGAAAGAAAGGGAAAAAATATGATGGTTGCTTCCTAGGATGGTTACTTAAATGAAGCTGTGTGCCTAGAGACATGGAGGCAATCAAGTCAACCCTCTGGCTAGCTTAGAGACTGGAAGTGATAAAAAAGACAAATACAGGATGTATTTGTGAACTGAGAGCAGGGGTGGCGATGGGGTGGGCTGAAGTAGAAGCAGCAATACTGGTACCTAGTGATAAGTAAACACATAAAGTCAGAGAGAAAATTGAAAAATCCATCCAAGGTGAGATTGAGAAAAAATTCTAAAATCCATGAAGAAAACCATCCCTAATAAAACCAGCCATCAAAAGTCAATCATGAAATGAGTTTACTCAAGATTAAATGAAAATGAGATGTCTAAATGACATATCTTAAAAAAAGAGTTTAAAATAAGTATGTTTGTTGTTATGTGGAAACTAATTTGACAATAAACTATTTGTAAAAATAAATAAATAAATAAAATAAAATAAAATATGTTTGAGATCACCAAAGAGAAATAAATGGAAAAGAATATCCCTAAAGCAAGCAAGAATATACCTATATTTGCTTATACATAGGTGTGTGATATATTGAAATAGATATGATGATCAGAATAACTATAACAAAAAAAAGGTGGCAATGATACCTATTAGATTTTAAAACGAAATCTATCAACATGGAAATTAAAAAAAAAAAATTCTAGGCTGGACACGAAGGAAACAAATTGAAAAATAATAATTTACAGTGTACCCAGAAAGCATCACAGAAAAAGAGAAAATAAATAAGAAAGAGCAGTTAAGGTATATGTTGAAAGGCTACAACAGGGCGCTTGGGTGGCTCAGTCAGTTAAACGTCTGTCTTCAGCTCAGGTCATGGTCTCACAGGCTCATGAGTTTGAGCCCCGTGTCAGGCTCTGTGCTGACAGCCCTGAGCTGTAGCGTGCTTCAGATTCTGTCTTCCTCTCTCTCTATCCCTCCTCTCCTCTCAAAAATAAATAAACATTAAAAAAATTGAAAAGAGGGGCGCCTGGGAGGCTTAGTCAATTAAGCGTCCGACTTTCGCTTAGGTCATGATCTCGCGGTTCGTGGGTTCGAGCCCCGCGTCGGGCTCTGTGCTGACTGCCAGCTCAGAGCCTGGAGCCTGTTTCAGTCTGTGACTCCCTCTCTCTCTGACCCTCCCTTGCTCACGCTGTCTCTCTCTCTCCTGGAAATAAATAAAACATTTAAAAATATATATTTTAAAAAAGTTAAAAAGAAAGGCTACAACATATACTTCAAGAAATTCCTTGAGACAAGGTAAAAGAAACAAACACACACATATGCAAACAGAGTAACTAAGTTTTCCATAAATTGAAGAACTTGATTCCTCATAAGGAATTACATTCAGGCTTCTGAGTAAAATTAATGAAATTAACCCAAACTTCTAGAAGTCATTTTGAAATCACAGA